TGTTCTTATTACAATAACGACAGATGGTAACAAATGACTACCAGAGATGTACTAGTTGGTATAATGCAAACTAGCTATTTTATATTGCTATTTTTAGCTATTTTTATATTGTTATGGGCACTGAATTGTGCCGTTCTGTAAACCGCCATGAGTTGCCCCCGGGCTGAGAATGGTGGTATAGAAATATAGTAAGTAAGTAAGTAAGTAAATAATAGTGATTATGATGCTTTTATTTCTTGCATTTTTACTTGCAGTGTCTGTCATGAGATCCGGCTTTATAAGACCCAAACTGGATGTTGCTGCAGAGCGTGTGGTGTGAAAATTCATTTCAAGTACTTGGTTGCACACAACTTTTGAAATGATAAAACAACCTGACACTGACTCACTTCACTGGTGCATCAAGCTCAGTCCTAGCTCTTCCAATTGAAGCCATCTTTTTAGGCTCATAGGAAAAGACAGCCTACTTTTAAGCCAGACATGTGACAGGCAAAACTTGATGCATTCTGCCTGCGAGGCACATGCTTTTCTGCAAACCCTTCCAAAAGCATCCAAAAAATATATTGCCTGTGTTCTATGAAAACGGAATTGTTTTGGATTTGTCTTTTCCCAAACTGGCCAGACATTTCTGATGTTTTGAAGCATCAGATGTGATGGGATTGTTCAGTCACACTCCCTACAATCAAGATGCTGAAGATGTTGTCTGCTGTATCTCTGCTTGAGCTGCTGCTTTCAACTGAACAGAAGGCACATCCAGAACAACAAACTGAAATTTGGGTTGCTGTGAGTTTTCCAGGCTGTATGGCCATGTTTGAGAAGTTTTCTCTCCTGACATTTCACCCACATGTATGGCAAGCATCCTCAGAGGTTGTGAGATCTCACCTCTGAGGATACCTGCCATAGATGTGGGTGAAATGTCAGGAGAGAATGTTTCTGGAACATGGCCATACAGCCCGGAAAACGCCTAGCAACCCAGTGATTCTGGCCATGAAAGCCTTCGACAACAAACTGAAATTTGTTTTTAATGTTTGCATATTAACCCAAGCAACAAATTGTTCCCAATGGAGGAAATCTAACATCCATCTCTCCCAATCTGCAAGATGATTTGTGCTGTAGTCCAGCAACTTCTGTATTGGCAGAGGCTTTCTAACTCTGTCACAAAACAAAATAGCATGCTTTAGCCATGAAAAATCTGGAAACCCTATTTGAGATGGAACGAAAAACTGGCATCAATTTTCTTGTTTCATTGCGAAATAAGAGACAGCTAGAACTAATGAGCAGTTTGGTGAATCCTTCCATTTAAACAAAAAGGCATTTAATAACAGCAGCAGACTGAAATCGTTCTAAGGGTCATTTATATTTTGCAATAAAGCTACTGAGAAATCATTCTCCTTTGTGTGTGTGTGTATGTGACTCCGTATTCAGAAGTCAGCAAACAGTCCATATTCTTAATTAATATTCTCTTCCCCTCATCCCCCGTTACAGACTTCCCGCTAAAATTCCATACCGTTGTAGCCATCCTGATTGAGGTCTCCTAGTGGGGCAACAGCACTGCCAAAGCGTCCAAACTCTTGGTGGCCAGTGAGTACAGCCGATGCACCAGAGTCCATGCCATACAGCTTTTGCAAGTAGACGTAGACCCTGCCCACCTCCTGCACACGGCCATCTTCAGTTTTCTCCATAAACAAGGGGGCACCGATCAACAGGTCATCTAGACTGCAAAACAAGGGAGGAGGGAATACAGTAAGAAGAGACACTGCTAACGTTCCAGAACTGAAAGACATACAGCTCACTAACGGGATTACTATTTGAAGGAGGGGACATTTAGAACTGTGTAAGAGACTGTGAAGTATAGTGGTTTGAGTCTTGGATTAGAACTCAGGTATGAGGGTTCAAATCCCTGCTCAGCCATGGAAACTCACTGGATTTTTTTTTGTCATGCCAGGAGTGACTTGTGAAACTGCAAATTGCTTCCGGTGTGAGAGAATTGGCCGTTGCCCAGGGGACGCCCAGATGTTTGATGTTTTATCATCCTTCTGGGAGGCTTCTCTCATGTCCCCACATGAGGAACTGGAGCTGATAGAGGGAGCTCATCCGCACTCTCCCTGGATTCGAACCTGCGACCTGTTGGTCTTCAGTCCTGCCGGCACAGCGGTTTAACCCACTGCGCCACTGAGGCGCAGTGACTTCCCAAACTCACTGGATGACTTTGGGAAAATCCCATAATTTCAGCTTCAGGAAAAGGCAACAGAAAACTCTCTCTGGACAACCCCTGGCAAGAAAATACCATGATAGGTAAGCTGTAAATGACTTGAAGCACACAACAAAATATATTTATAATCCTTAGTTGGAGGACTCCTGTAGTGCCTCAACAAACTGCAAACTCTAAACTGCAGTTACAGTAGAATTACTATGCCAAAAAAGTGTGAAATGTTCTCAAAGCCTGAAAACATTTATTTTGGGTACTACAACTCTCAAGGGTTCCCTAGCCAGGGCTGAACAACAAGATAAAAGCAGTACAGACTGTAATAATGATCAGGACCAGAATATTGCATTGTTAAATGCCAAGGAGCATGGGAAATTAACCTTTCCTAAGCTTTTCAATCCACACTGGGGTTCTTTAGTCTGTTTTCCAACCAATACCTAATGTGACATCTCATGAAAGCCTCCCCAAAACTTGTCTCATAACCAAATGCTGTCCTACTTCTCCTCCTTGTTTTCATCCTCTTTCCCAAATGCTCTACTGATGACTGGGTTAGCCATTCTGGACACTCACCCATCATTGTTGATGTCAGTGGCAGCCACAGCATATCCAAAATAGGCAGCCATCTGTTAAGGAAAAAGTTAAAGGTTAACAGTGAAAGATTGACTGTAAGTGCCTCTTATTCCCCTCCCCCCAATCCACTCTCTTCATATTTTCTTGGCAAGCCTATATTGTTTCTGAAGGCAAGGAAAGGGAGCCTTCTCAAATCAGCTGATCAAGATAATTTCTAAAACTCTAAGACTCATAATTGGTGACTATTGGGAATACAGCCTGAAACTTATGGGGAGTTTTGGTCCAAATGAAGGTGGAAAATGCTCCTCTCACACGGGTGGGGAAACTTGGCTTTTCCCGATGCATAGGACCACAGCTCCCATAATCCTTTAGCACTTGTCAAGCTGTCTGAAACTTCTCGAAGTTGAAGTCCAAAACATCAGGAGAGCCACAGATGATTGCCACCCTTTAACGGTGAAAAAGCCAACATTGGGTGACAATCTGTTCTTAGATTATATCTGGATCCAAAATTATTTGGTTTTCCCCTTTTCTTGTTACTTCTGCACAAGCAGCAGCGAACTAGAAGGCAAGAGGGAATTAAGAGCAACCAGACCCATAGGAGAGGGGTCTTGAGGGGCTTCAGCCCCCCCCCCCCCGAAATTCTCAGGGTGGCCTTACTGGTACATTATTTAAACTGTTATGTTTATTCATATCATGATCTGATCACCATGCTCAATAGATCCCATATGCATGGGGGTATTGGGATAATGATACAAAAGGTTTGCTAGGGTAGATCCTGCCCCCCCCCCCCCCCCGAATCAAAATCCTGGCTACGGGCCTGAGAGCAACTAAAAGTCAATTTAAAATCCTGAAGCAACACATGCACATTCTGTGTCAGGAAAAGCCACACATGCACGCAGTATAAATTATGCAAAGAGGTGGCACAATTTCTTCTATTTTGCCTGGTTTATTTTGAGTTTACCAGTAAGAAGATAAAGCATATTACTCTGCCACATCCCAGGCTTGTGAAATACCAACAGGCATTGCTCACACATTTCTCAAACGTCTCTTTGCAGCCATAAAGCTGAAAATAGCTTTCAATTTTTTTGGGATCCTTAACTTTCATTTAAATAACGTTTAAATCAGAATCACAGAGAACAAAACTCATCAATTAATAAATATCACATGCTATAATTCTGCTATGCTATTTCAAGGGCCTAAAAAGGTTAAGGTTAACTTCTGGAAAAGGAAAGATTACAAGAATAATGTACTTCCTCTTTCTTGTTTCCGACTGCTTCCTGAAGAAAAACCAAACTACTCTTAAGACAGCTATGTAATAAAGCCAGGAAAAACAAATTATTATATTATCAAGGATGGTTTGGACTGTTACAGTTCCTGTATCAAATCCCTCTTCCTCGTCTCAATCTGGCAATGTTACTATTGTGGTTGTTGTTATATTTATATTTATTAATATTCCGGTTTTATCACAGGAATTGAGAACCTCGAATAATAGTCGCCACTGCATAATAGTCGCACTACCTTTGGGGGGCAGCAAAATTGATATTTTGCAACTTCTTATACACCCTTTATTTACTAGCGTGCACATCTGCTGGTGAAACCCTGAGTGAATCCCTGTAACTGGAAATTTTTTATGGCATAAGTCACATCTCCTTTTTTTCATCTAAAAAAAAGGGGGAGGTGCGACTATTATGTGGTGAAACGTGGTGTACAATTTAAAAAACCTAAAAACGCAAACATTAAAGCAGAATTAAATATTACCATCATTAAAACAAGTCAGTTAAAGTAATATAAAATGAAAAGCTATAAAACTATAAAAATGTGGGTGCACACCTGTTCTCCAGAAAAGTTGTACAAAGGTCGAATGTCACTTCCATTAAGAATTGTGACCTTAAAAAGAGAAAGGAAAAGAAATCAGTCACGGTGGATCAAGCAGTATCTTCCACAGAAGCTTTCGACTTCCCACAAAGACACAAATCAGGAAACCCATCACCTCACTAAAACAGAAGGATAACGCTGGAGCCTGAACCTCAAAGCCCTACAATTCTTGTTTTAAAATTCTCCTTTTAGAGCTGAGTATGATGTTCACAAATCTTGGTTGCCATCCTACAAGTTTTGTCTTTCTTTTTGAAAAATATTCTATTAAAATCACAGTCATTTGGGGCTTGTCTACATCAGCAGCTGCAAATTGGATTAATTAGAGCTGCCATGGATTCACTCCATTACTGCCACATGTACCTGTAATATATTACACTGAAATTGTATTGCTATCCACACCGCAAATTAAAACCAGTACAGTTTCTTTATTTTTGCTTCTCTGAAGTGATTTGTTACCTGATGCCTTCCCAGCCAAACAGCTTCCCTCCTGGGGAATTCGCTCACTTGGATGTCAGAATGAGGTGTCCAGCCAGATGATCAACACTGAACAGGTAATCCAATTGACTTTCTCATTGTTAATCACATGGCTGGGCTCTTCATCTTGAGAGAACAACCTCCCCAATCACTCTATAAGAAAGCTATTGGCTGAGGAAGCAGCAGTTGTGGGATTCATGAATAGAAAGGAAAACCAGGGATCTTCTTTCCTGCCACCAGAAGACAACAGGAAATCATTTGGGGGGAAATGGTTTGCCATTGTCTCCTTGCCCTCACTCTGCTTCCCATCACAAAAATTAGTGTCAGAAAACATTACATGATAGTCATGTATAAGACATGATAGCCATATATAAATATGTGAAAGGCTGTCATAAGGAAGGGGGAGAAGGCTTGGAAACTAGGACTAGGAGCAATGGGCTCAAATTACAGGAAAATTCATCCTGAACATTAGGACGAACTTCCCGACTGTAAGAGCTGTTCAGTAGTGGTGCTCTCTGCCTTGGAGTGTGGTGGAAGTTCCTTCCTTGGAGGCTTTTAAACAGAAGCTGGATGGCCACCTGTCAGGGGTGCTTTAATTGTGCTTTTCCTGCATTGCAGAGGGTTGGACTAGATGGCCCATGTGGCCTCTTCCAACTCTATGATTCTATTAAAACATATAGCCCAGCAAATAGTAGTGAACATGTAAAAAAAAAACCCAATGGCTACATTTGCCATTCAACGAGCCTGCAATGCTATAGGAGGAGAGTGAGTGAGTGCTCTTTTTGTGAAAACTTAAGGACCACAGTGCTGTCAGAATAACAAGAAGTGTAAGAGGAAGGCTGTGGTTCCTCTCAGGATTTTCTGTGGGCCACCAGCAGGTCACCGCAAGTTCACAAAGTGAAAGGAGGCACCAAAAGGAAGACAGGCCATGTCACATGCTGGAGGCGAATGAGAATCACATCCTGCAAGAAGTCACCACCACAGCATCATGGGTTTGTTCTTGGCCACAATTAAACAGCCGAAGGGAAATCAGTTTTGTTCCGGTTTCAGCCTTTATCTTTCCCCACTCCACAAAAATGCATTGGTTATTATAGCAACCATAGTGTCAACAATAAACGGGGAGCTCAGAAATGTCACATTCATAGTGAATGGGGAAGAGATAGTGTTGTTGCAGAAATATCTGAGACAATGTCTTACTTGTGTGAGTAAAGGCCTTCAAGTTGCCTATTGACCTATGATGATCTTATTAATTGCTTTCTTAGGCAAGGAGGTGACTTTGCCACTTTCTTCCTCTGAAACATAGCTTACAGCACTTGGCATTTGTTGGTGCTCTCCCATCCAAGAACTAACCAGGGTCAATTCTGCATAGCTATCATAATCTGGTGCATGCTAGTTTATACAAAATGGATGACTTGGCCAATTTGTCCATTCTGTGGCAGAAAGAGCTACAACCATGGCAGAACATGGAAGCAGAAGAACAGCTGGAACTAACAGGTGCTTCCAAAGGTATCTCCATGTTCTTGAAGGTCAAAGGGTTTTCATATATCATGATGCTCTCCATCATGCACACAGCAATAAGAACTCTACATGCATTAGTTCTAGTGATTCGCTTGGCTGTCTGTCCATGATCAGACATAGTTCCTACTGGATGTGGACTTGGAGGAAGGAATGCATATACCAACCCCAAGTGCACAAACCTTACAGTTAACATCACAACACAGTAAAACTAAGACTGGGGTGAGCATGCAAATCGTTTCTATCATGTTACGAATCTTAAAAATTTATTGTCAAGGAGGATAAGTTTGTTTTAAATATAGTATATTTGGAAATATCTATAATACAAAAGAAAGTGTCATCTACTTTACCACCCACGGATCTTCAAGGGATACGTTTTTGCTTAGATATACAAAACAGGTATAATAGCGAACCCTATTAAAATGAAGGATATCTGGTCCCAAAAAACTCAGAGATGTGCTGGATGATCTAGAAACTGTCTTTTGTTGGAGGTGAGAAATGAAACCATGGATCCTGATCCCACAGATACAGAGGCCGTACTGCATCCAATACAATTCTTATCATTCCAAGGCCAATGCAACTATAATGTTAGCTGGGGAAGTACTGTTTGGATTCAGTTTTGATTTGGGGTTGGTTTCCAAAATAGGTGTTTTCCAAAATAGGTGTTTTCCAAAATAGGTGCTTTCCTCATTGTGAATCAGCAATTGAGAAAGTCTCATTCTATTCCCTTGCAAGGAAGTATGACACAAAGATTGTAATAATAATAATAGGTGTTGGTTCAGAAGATTAACAAAAATCAGGATGTTTTTCATAAAACATAAGTTAGTTGGAATTTCTAAAATGCCATTTTAATCATCCTTGAGTAACCCAGTGTGCAGCACAAAATAAAGTTATTCCTGGCACCCTATCTGCATCAGTTGTTAAATTTTGCATGTGTTTCACTCAACCATTAATTTTAACTTTACAAAGGGATAAAAAACAGACATCGCCCTAGCCATGGATATGAAGGAATATAACAGACATTTAAAATACACAAAAAAGGGCGGGAATGAGGGAGGAAAGACAATAGGTATAGTTCTTACATATCCATAAGTCAAATTGCCTTTGGGAACACCAGCCACAAAATCTGGAAGGGAGAAAAGAAACAAATGTTCAGCAACAGAAGCAATGACAGGATATACTGATGCAAAAAATGGACTATAATATACAATGCAGATAGTACAGAACAGCTTTAGAGTCTTTACTGAAGAAAATGAAACATGCTTCTTTACCAATCCCTATATTTGCAAAATATGCCCATAGAGAAACAAGGTCAATAATACATGGCTGGTAATTTCACATATTCATGAATTACTGTCCCATAATATGAACCCTAATCTCCCTTTCATTACCTCCAACCTCCTGAATACGATGTTTTTGGAAATCTAATCCATATAATCTACCCAGAATACAGTGGATTTGTTCATTTTTAGGGCAGCCTAGACATCACCTCTTCACCCTCCATATTTACCAGACCCACCATCATAATTTGCCCTCATTAAACCCTTGTGGTGGCAGGACTGAAGACCGACAGATTGGAGGTTTGAATCCGGGGATAGTGAGGATGAGCTCCCTCTGTCAGCTCCAGCTCCCCATGCAGGGACATGAGAGAAGCCTTCATGTAGGATGGTAAACCATCAAAATATCCAGGCATCCCCTGGACAATGTCCTTGCTGACAGCCAATTCTCTCACACCAGAAGCGACTTGCAGTTTCTCAAGTCACTCCTGACACAGAAAAAAAAATAGCCCATTAGTACCTTCAGTGGAATCACCGCTGAATTCTCCTACAGCCACAGAGTAACCTAGAAAGAAAGAAAAAGAATAGTATGATATATTTATTATGTCCTACTGCCATTTGTGCTTTGCACACACTAGGTTGGCATAAGTCTGACCAGGTAGCATTTGGACCATAGTCTGGAAATCTCTTAAGACACAAGATCCCTCCCTTTGTAGGAACTGGGATAAGTCACTGTGTTTAGGGCTGTCTTTATTATTTTCTTAAAAATTCAGAGCACATCACCACTTTTGTCTGGAAAAGTTACTCTAAGACAGAGGGTGGTCATCTCCCCTTCCACAGTTGCCCCTCTCACTACTCTGATGGGCCATAGTGTTATATTTAAATTTTCTGGCTTTTTTGGATGGAGGCTTGACAGTCTTTGGAGGGTATAAATGTCTGCCTTTGAGGCTCATTTCCAGTCAAATAAATTGCCCCAAATTCAGTATAATTTTCTTTCGAAAACACTGAACTTTGAAAAGTGGGAAAGGGAATCTTTGAGAGCCTTCAGAGTTGTACTCTGGTGTTCCAAAAGCTGTAGATGGTCCACATCAGCCTTTCCTCCACCACTAAGGTAAGAAAATTGCTCTAAATGGAGTAAAATAAAAATAAAAGCACAGAAAAGGTGCAGAAAAATGTCAGAGCAGATGACCCTGAGATCATAACTATCATAACAGAAAAGGGAGTTCCAGGGCATTGACGGTACCCTTCCTAACCACAGGGGACTATTTCTGGGCCACCATGCTTGCTATTTGTGAACTCTTGTCACTGCTTCCATGACCACTTTCCCTGGAATGATGAATGAATTCATCAGGAATCCCAAAATAATCAGAGGCTGCACACTTATTTCAGCTCACATTAAGTCTGAGTCATCTCCCAAACTCTGGCCATGCATTTCATATTTTGAATTCCATGCCAACATTGGCACTCCCTATTGGCTCCCTAGTTGTGGGATTTTTAACCCCAGTGTAAATAGCAGTAAAGGCTTTTGCAGAGATGTAATTTAAACCCATCTAAATTGCCCACTATGATTTTCCTTGTGTTTCTGAGGACAACAATGAGAATGAAGGTTTGAGATGTATAAAGAGGCTTTGTTGTTCACAATATGAAAAAAGAGGTTAACGACAACTAAGGTATCTCATCTTCAAGAAAAGGAAACGTTGTGTTATACATGTGGGAAGCAAGTATTGCAGATATTTGAAAAATAGAAAGATTTTAGGCATTTATTATATAATCAGGTGTGGACAACTTGTGGCATACCAGCTGTTTCATCATTAGCTATGCTGGTAAAGGGAGATGCAGTCCAGTTAATATATTGAGAGCTCCATACTACCATATCATCCAAAAATCTATATAAATAAAAATGCTCGTTTGTGGGATTAACATAACTCAAAAAACATTGGACGAATTGCCGCCAAATTTGGCCACAAGACACCTACAAATCCAAGGAGTGACCACCACTTAAAAAAAATTCTTTTGGGAGTTGTAGTTGCTGGGATTTATAGTTCACCTACAATCAAAGAGCATTCCGAACTCCATCGATGATGGAATTGAACCAAAAGTGGCACACAGGACTCCCATGACCAACAGAAAACACTAGAAGGGTTTGGTGGACATTGAGTTTGGGAGTTGTAGTACACCTACATCCAGAGAGCACTGTGGACTCAAACCATGATGGATCTGGACCAAACTTGGCATGAATATTCCATATGCCCAACTAGGAACACAGATGAAGCTTGGGAGAAATAGACCAAGACAGTTGAGAGTTGTAGTTACTGGGATTTATAGTTCACAATCAAAGAGCATTCTGAACCCCACGAATGATAGAATTGGGGCAAACTTCCCACACAGACCACTCTGACCAATACTTAAGGCCATCCAGTCCAACCCCCTTCACCAGGGCAAGAAAACTTAATCAAAAACTTACCCACAATCATAAAGAAATTACATATATTAGAAACAAACACTTTCTCATTACTTTATTTTCCAGATCACCAGACTAGGCCACAGCAACGTGTGGCAAGGGACGGCTAGTAACATATAAAATAGCTCAGTATTTAAGCAAAACAATACATTTGAGAACCACATATGTGGGGCCAATTGGGGTAAATTGTAGGGGTGATAAGGAAATATGATATATCGTATTTATTTACTGTATTGTTATAAGTGACTTATTTTAACACAGTATATAGAGTGCAATCAAATCTTATCAAGCCTTGTTTGGTTTGGTATTGTGATATGGCCTAGGGGTAATCAATAATAATCATCATCATAATCATCATAATCATAATCATATCATATTATGGAAACATGTGAGTATGAAATAAGACAAAAAGCCCATATCCCAGAAAGCTAATCCCTTTTACACAGACCCTACAGCCTGGAATTAGGATTCCCATTCACAAAGCACAAAATACACAAAGGCAACCAACTACAAGAAATAAAGCATTACTGTAAGGCAACAGGTCTCTCCCTGTTCTCCAGTACTCACCAAGGTAACTATCATCAGCATTTAGATGAGTCTGTCGAGTTTCAAGTTGTCCTCTAACATCAAGGACTAAATATTCAGGATCGTAGACATTTTGTATGGCCTCTTGCGTTGCCGATAGCACCTGGCCTGAAGAAAAGGTATGGCGCAGTGATTAGAGTATCATATTGTGACTGGAGGCACCTTGTTCAATTTTTCAACTAACAAGTCTGGTCCAAGACATTTTTCCAGTTGCAATGGAGAAGTAAACTACATTCCTACAAGTCAAGATCAGGTACTGTATGTTGAACGACAGCCATGTTATTAAGACAGTGAACTTCCCAAGAACCTCTTTTCATATCTGCACTAAAAACGTAACAAGAGCAAATTAAGTAGCAGGTTTGCTACCCTTTCATGACACCCTCAATCTATTTGCTGTCTTAGGTGAATGCCTCACTCTACCTAACTGTAGGACCGGCTCTATCACTTGGTCATTACGTTCATATACCAGTGGTGCACATAACCAATCTTATGGGGTTTATGAGGATTAGTAAAGGTAAAGATCTTCCCTTGACATTAGGTCTAGTCATGTCCGAGTCTAGGGGGTGATGCTCATCATCTCCATTTCTATGCCGAAGAGCTGGCATTGTCCATAGACTCCTCCAAGGTCCTGTGGCCAGCATGACTGCATGGAGCACCGTTATCTTCCTGCAGGAGCAATACCTATTGTTCTACTCAAATTTACATCTTTTCAAACTGCGAGGTTGGCAGAAGCTGGGGCTAACAGCAGTAGCTCATCCTGCTCCCCGGATTCAAACCACAGACCTTTCAGTCAGCAAGCTCAGCAGCTCAGCACTTTAACCCACTAATCCTCATAAGGGGGCCCTTATGAGGATTAGCAGTGAGAATATAGGGAGCAGATACCTTTTGATGTTTGGAAGAAAGACGTTGCAAACATTAAAACAAATCAATCAAAAAGCCTATGCCCAAAATGGGAATGAAAATTAGAAGTTTCATGTTAGAACTTTGGGGATGCAGAATATCAGTCAGATGTCAATTAAGATCTGGAGGAAGATCACAAAGATTTATCTTTGCATAATCTCCAGGTTCATTTATAGTACATCCTTGGTATCTACTGGGATTATTATGATTATTATGTTTCTTTATATCCTGCTTTTTCTCTCCATAAGGAGGCTCAAAGAGGCTAACATTAAAAGTGTTACAGTACAATTTAAAATATATAAACAATATTAAATATCATATACCAAAACCTGTGCATGCTGATGTCCCATTATATACACTGGTGTATAGAGTTGGCAACCTTATATGAAATGGTGAATGACTCAAACAAGTTCTGGAGAGAGCCTGCGGATAGCTGAAATGGCGGGAGGCTACAACAGGGTATGGCAATGCATCAGTATAGTGCTCAGTGTGTAGAAAGATCAATATTTGCTTTGTAGAATTTTTCTTCCAAATATTTGAAAGCTCTGGATGCAGAATGTATGTATACAGAGGGCAGACTGTGCACTCGTCAGCAGCTACAAAACATCAGAAGTGTCAGCTACATCCAATACAGTTCATCCGCTTGAGGCCCTGTTTTCCACAGACACTTTTAATTAGAGATTTGGAAACTAAAATAGAACCCGTCATTAGCATTTGCCAGCCACAGAGGAACAGTAGGGGTGCCATCAGAACGGCACTTTGTTCTAGTGGATTACTGTTCACTTTGTTGCTTTATAGTCCCAATGCCTGGTGTATGATTTGATTATCTGCAGTGTTATACAATGAGAGAGACTGTCCTGTTCCTCTAAAGCAGTGGTTCCCAAACGGTGGGACCCCAGGTGTTTTGGCCTACAACTCCCAAAAGTCCCAGCCAGTTTACCAGCTGTTAGGATTTCTGGGAGTTGAAGGCCAAAACATCTGGGGACCCACAGGTTGAGAACCATTGTTCTATACTAATAGACTAATAGCAACATACATATACAAAGATCCGCCCACCTTGTGATGCCAAATAGCAAGTGTTGGCTGAATATTTGAAACCTCATTCTTTTGGGGGAAAGAACAGCCACATGTAGCAAAACAAGCTTCTGAAATGCTAGTTTTCTGCACAAAAGGTGGGTGATTTCAAGTTTGCTAAGTACACTTCTAAGYTTCAAATAATTATGAAGTATACTTAGTACAGTGTTTCTCAACCTTCCTAATGCTTCAACCCCTTAAGACAGTTCCTCATGTTGTGGTGACCCCCAACCATAAAATTATTTTCATTGCTACTTCATAACTGYAATTTTGCTACTGTTATGAATCATCATGTAAATATCTGATATGCATGATGTATTTTCCCCTGACCAACAGAAAATACTGGAAGGGTTTRGTGGGCATTGACCTTGAGCTTTGGAGTTGCAGTTTACCTACATCCAGAGAGCACTGTGGACTCAAACAATGATGAATCTGGACCAAACTTGGCACAAATACCCAATATGCCCAACTGTGAACACTGGTGGAGTTTGGGGGGAAATAGACCTTGACATTTGGAAGTTGTAGTTACTGGGATTTATAGTTCACCTACAATCAAAGAACAGTCTGTGTCCCACCAATGATAGAATTGGGCCAAACTTCCCAYACAGAATCCCCATGACCAACAGACAATGCTGTGTTTCCTGATGGTCTTTGACGACCCCTCTTGACACYCCCTCGTGACCCCCCCCCAGGGGTCCCGACCCCCAGGTTGAGAAACACTGATTTAGGATCTTTTAATAGTTCTGGTAGAACTAATCTGTGCCAAGTAGAAGCAAATTTTATCTGACTAGGCTCACATTTCCAAAACTTAGGAAAGCCTTCACAGCCCTTCGTTTTCAAAGTATGCCTACAGCAGTGATTGATGACAGATACACGGGCACCCCTCTGGCTCTTCGTTTATGTGTTTGCAGGGCCCCAGAAATTGAGGATTTGCCTCACTATTTGTTTTTCTGCCCTCTGTACTCAGAGCCAAGAACCAAAATCCTGGGGTCTATTCTTCATCTTCTTCAAACCAGCACTGTGTCAGAAAAGATTTTCTATCTCTAGGATGACACTAACCCTGTGGTTACTGACAAGGTGTCTCTTTTTGCCCTGCCACCACAGAAAATCTGGGCAAGACTAATCTCTGATATTGCAGTCAACTGTGCTGGGGATGCTTTTAACTAATAGTGGCTGTTTATGCAGTTTTATTAATGCTGTATCTATTTGGTTTTACCTGGTTTTTAATTACGCAGGTGCGAGTCCATACAGTATGTAGTATTTTAAGGGTACATCTTGCCTTATTAATGATTTATAGGATTTTAATTGTGTATTTTATATTGTATTTAATTACAAACGCTGACTGGCACAACCTAGGGATCACAACCAGACACAGTGAAGACATCTGCCCTTGCGCTATGCTACTCTGCTGCTGAGTATGCATGCCCAGTGTGAAACACATCTCACCACGCTAAAACAGTAGATGTGGCTCTTAATGAGACATGCCGCATTATCATGGGGTGTCTGCGCCCTACACCACTGGAAAAATTACACTGTTTAGCCGGTATTGCACCACCTGATATCTGCCGGGAAGTAGCAGCCAATAGTGAAAGGCAGTGACATCTCCAGCTCATCCCCTGTTTGGGTATCAGCCAGCATGTCAATGACTTAAATCAAGAAATAGTTTTCTAAGATCTAGAGAGACACTCACCGGAACACCTCAGCAAGCGAGAGTCCAAAAGTGGCAGGCTAAAACTCAGAACCTCAATCAATGGCTGATACCAAATGAGAGACTCCCCCCTGGGCACACAGAAAATTGGGCGACTTGGAAGGCACTGAACAGACTGTGCTCTGGCATCACGAGATGTAGAGCCAACCTTAAGAAATGGGGCTACAAAGTGGAGTCCACAACATGCGAGTGTGGAGAAGAGCGAACCACAGACCACCTGCTGCGATGCAACCTGAGCCCTGCCACATGCACAATGGAGGACCTTCTTGCGGCAACACCAGAGGCACACCAAGTGTCCAGCTACTGGTCAAAGGACATTTAATCAACTACCAAGCTTGCAAACTTTTTTGTTTGTTTGTTTGTTAAACATGCAATACAACTGTTTGGTTTGGATTAATAACTAAAATAAATTGTATTTAATAATCTGGTTTTCATGTATTTATCTATTTGCCTTATATGTGAAAGACCTATGGTCTTTGAACATGCGGTCAAAGTAGCAGCAAATATTAATCTTCCCTCAAGAATCTGAGAATTGCCTTGATGGATTATCAGACCATGACCCATTAAATTCAAAATTTTGCCTTTTACAGTAGCTAGTTAGATCAGTATTTCTCAAACTCTGCTCTTCTAGATGTTTTGGATTTCTGCTCCCACAATTCCTAAAAGCCAGTAAACTGGCTGGGATTTCCGTGAGTTCAAAACATCTGGAGGAGCAGGGTTTGAGAAACACTGAGTTACATGATTTCAAACAAAGAGTAGAATATGCCACAGGTGGAGAACATCTGGAAGGTCAAAGTTTCTGTATCCCTTCTCTGTGAGCCAAGTCAGTGGGATGCAATCTACCTACCACAGTTCCAAGAACAGTTATATTTTATCTCCAGGGAAACATTCCAACAAGTAACTCCAGTATGGTCCAAGAGAAAATTCACCATAATTCTGCTGAATGTCAAAAACCAGCTCTTAAATGTCTAACATGAGGACTTTCTTTCCCCTTCCTCTTCTCAGACCTAGGTCTAAAACATGGTTGACAATAAGAGCATTCCAGAAATTAACCCAATTTCTTAAGAGTGCCGGTGTGGTCTCCTTTCCTGGTTGTCTGGACAGCTGCATTCTCGGGTGGCTCTAGCTGGAGATTCTGCACTGAGAAGAAGCTTGGACTTAGTGGTCCATGAAGCTCCTTCCATGATTCTATGATGATCTCCAATTAGATTTATGGAGAAAGCAATCTGGTCTGGCATAGGCCTGTCTGCCTTAGTCTTCTAAGCCCAATAAAAGGTCTGATCCTAACCGATGATGGTGAAAAAGCAGTGGGGCGGAAAATGGTTAGGGTGGGAAGCATGGCTCACCTTGCCAGAAATAGCTTCCAGGGCCACCAAGAAGAACACGTCCATTCTGCAGAGACAAGGAAAAGTGTCAGTTCCCACAGAAATATCTAATCAAGTAGATTCTAATCTAGCCTGCAAAGAAATATATCATAATATAACAACAAAACTTTATTTGTATCCTGCCTTATCTCCCTGTGGGGACTCAGTGCAATTTCCAACACAACAGCTGAAAATTCAGTGCGTATTTAAAATGAAAACCATAAAAAATTACACAAAGAACAATTCTAAACACTATGCACTAAATTAAAATCTGCAATTATATTAAATAGTAACAATTAAAAGCCAGCCGAGACAGAGTATCACAGTGGTTCTCAACCTGTGGGTCCCCAGATGTTTTGGCCTTCAACTCCCAGAAATCCTAACAGCTGGTAAACTGGCTGGAATTTCTGGGAGTTGTAGGTCAAAAGACCTGGGGACCCACAGATTGAGAACCACTGGAGTATCATATCAGTTGTTAAATGCATTTGTACAATGGCCATGTTGAGACACTGAACCATGTTGGGTAAAGAAATAATTAATGAACCCACAATAATGCAACAGATGTCTTAGTTGATCTAGGGAAGTGGTTCTCAACCTGTGGGTCCCCAGATGTTTTGGCTTTCAACTCCCAGAAATCCTAAAAGCTGGTAAACTAGTTGGGATTTCTGGAAATTGTAGGCCAAAACACCCAGGGACCCACTGATTGAGAACCACTGATCTAGGGTTCTGAATACTGAATCTGAACAAGGCCAATCTACTGACCTTCAGAGTCTTTAATTAACACCCCCCTTAAACACCAGCTCCCATAATCCATGTATGAGCCTTCTCAAACCTGGTGCCACCAAGGTGTTTTGGATTGCAACTCCTATCACAATTGCCCTATGCTGAAGAATAGTGATGGTTTTACTTCAAAATATTTGGAAGGTACCAAGTTGAGAGAAGCTGCCACTGATCTTATAGTAAGAATCCTGGCAGGTGCAAGATGTGAAAAGAGCTGCTATGTTGGATTGAAGCCAGGAATCCAGATGCCCACAGCTGTCATATGTACATCTGCTCACAGGATTGTCAGAGAAGGAATTCCTATGCAAAATTCCATGGACATGTTATTTCCTTGAGCTACATAACCACGGTGTTGCATTAAACGAGGAGACCAAACTCCTTTTGGATGTAGATCTGGAAGCCACACCACCTGCTAGCAATAAAATTCAAGGGGAAAAGTTCAACCCTCACAGAACTAGACTGATGTCACAGAATAACATGGATATAGACATGTTTAATTGATCTTCTTTGGGGGGCATCTAACTACCACAGCTTGCACTAGTGTGGAATTCAACCTATGCTATGTCTACCCTTAATTAGCATTTAGCAAACCTTATATGTAACTGATAGGGACTCACAGGGGACACAAGCAACTACTGTGTGATCATGCCTATAACACAATTTTAAATTCATGTCTTCATCTCCTCACTCAATGGTCATGATCTGTTTCAAGTGTGCAAATGCAGGAAGGATCATGCTCTTCTTGTTGCCAAAAGGCATGGAAACTCACCTTTGTGAACTCAGCACTAAACCCACTTTGACAGTAGCCTTGTCCACGGGCAGAGGTCAAGTCTGATTGAGGACAGAAAGAAAAAGACAAGAAAGGCAATTTTATTGAAATCATTTTAACTATTTTAGTATATCCAACACATGAAGCTTTTAATGGGAGGAAGACTGGAGTGTTTTTATTATATTTTGTTATATGTGTGTTTTTTTTAAAAAACCCAGAAACTTAGTTTAATTGTGTTTTAACATTTTCCAATTGTATCGTGTTTTTAAAATGTTACACACCATATTGGGTTCTGTATTAGGAGAAAAACATAAATTGAAATAATAGATTCGCACAATTTATCTTCAGTTGAAAAGGGATGGAAACAGGACAGAACTCCAGCTATTGTCCCCTAGAACAGACAATAATCTGGCCATTGTAAAACTCAAAGACAAGACAACTATGAAATACAGCCACAGGGCAGAGAAAGCCAAATCAGTACAACATGGGGAGTAAGCACATGCTGTTATTGTCCCTTAGGATGTTTCGAACATCTACCAGGACTTAACACCTGTAACCAGAAAGCCCATCACACATCTCCTGTATTGTTACCTGAGCGGCAAGGTGCATATTCCACAAACTTGGTAAAGTTGTTAACTGACAGGTAGCAGGTGCCCACAACCTCACGTTCAGGTTCATCCTTATTTGTTCGCCAACTGTAGAGTGGAGCGCAGGCCTAAGGGAAGAAGACCAGCTAGATAAGTGAAATGTCCAGGGCTCACCAGCCTTTTGGATTTGAATCCAAAGATTTCTCAACTGGAAGCAGATCAGTCCCAAATAACTTCAAAGTCAAACAGTATGAGGCCAGTTACCAGTAAAAGGATGGGCTATGTTCAGTGTCTGCAAGTGTGACAGATCTACCATAACACGTTAGCCAAGACTGATGGGAATTGTAGCCCAATAACACACTGGGGTGTTATGTGTCATCCTCTGACACAGCCTAAGAGCACTGCCTTCTAAAGGACATGTAAGCAGACTCATGACAACGGCCCAAAAATGCCATAAAACAGTGGTTCTCAACCTGTGGGTCTCCAGATGTGTCCAAATGGTCCACATGGGTGACTTAGATAGGGACACCATTGTTTTCTGATGGTTCAGTGCATACACTTTGTTTTATGTACACAATTATTCAAAATATTGTGCATAAAACTATTTTCAAACTATTATGTAAGGTGTATATGGAATTTAAATGCATTTTGTTACTGGGCTTGAGGTCCATCTCCAAGCAGTCTCATTATTTCTGTATATTCAAATACAGGTATGCTAAAATAAAAAAAACAAAACAACAACCCTGAAATTTAAATTACTTCTAAATGCCAAGCATTTCAAATAATGGAGACTCGATCCTTGGCTAAATACACTCAAGCCTATCTTCATAATATTGAGGACTAGAAACTTTAATACTTCAAAATGAAAGCAATCACTGACTACCTAGTACTGAATGCCATCATAGTTAATTAACTAACTTTAAGGGAACCTTTGGCAACACCAAACAAGGGGAGAGAAAAAGCACAGCCATACTAATTTGGAGAGAAGGGCTTGTGCATCAGTTAAGACACCCAAAATACAAAAATAAATTACAATTTTGCAATGCATTTATCATGAAATAAATCAAATTTGCTTTGGTTATTCCTGTCTTTTGATAGAAGAGTTCTTTCTCCAGAAAGGAAAAAAGAGAACCCTATAGTCTTATAATCTTTGTTTTCTTTCAAGCTGCGCTAGTTTTTCACAAATGTTATTTATATGCGGTAACCACCAACAGTCAGTGTTGCAACTGCAGCTCAAACAAGATTTTCCAATAAAGGGGGTGTCTGGCCTCATGATGCAGATTAGATTAGTCTCAGTTATCAGAAAGGAGATTTTGCTTGGAAAAGTTACTTTTGGAAACTTTTGGAGATTGTGGTTTCCAGACTCCTCAAGTCAGCAGAGCCACTGTAATTGACACTGCTATTAAGTTTAAAACTACAGTAGAGTCTTGCTTATCCAATGTTCTGTATTATCCAACACAGTCTGTCTCCCACTCAGATCCACAGGTGAGGGAAGTGGAGTATATATTTACTTGTGGAATAATGTCCAGGGTGGGAGAAAGAAATAACCTTTGTCTGTTTTGGTGCTAAATTTGGAAATACAGTAATTACTGTATTGTCGAAGGCTTTCATGGCCAGAATCACTGGGTTGTTGTAGGTTTTTTCAGGCTATATGGCCATGTTCTAGAGGCATTACTCCTGACGTTTTGCCTGCATCTATGGCAAGCATCCTCAGAGGTAGTGAGGTCAGTTGGAACTAGGAAAATAGGTTTATATATCTGTGGAATGACCAGGTGGGAAAAAGGACTCTTGTCTGTTGGAGCTAGGTGTGAATGTTTCAACTGACCACCTTGATTAGCATTTGATGGCCTGGCAGTGCCTGGGGCAATCTTTTGTTGAGAGGTGATTAATGTCCTTGTTTGTTTCCTCTCTGTTGTTTTGCTGTTGTAATTTTAGAGATTTTTTTAATACTATATAACATTATTGTGTATTGAACTCCATTTTCTGTCAATTTGTTGTAAAACATGATGTTCTGGTGCTTAATTTGACGTTTAATACGTTTTTCCTTAATCCCTCCTTATTATCCCACATTTTTGCTTATCCAACATTCTGCCGGCCCATTTATGTTGGATAAGTGAGACTCTACTCTACTGTATTTAGTTTTCCTACAGTGTAATCCCAATAGTTAACTTTGTTAACAAAATGTCATTTCATTAAAAAAAATCTCCAGACTTAAAAGAGCAATAACCCTTATACAAAACCTCCAGATGAGAAAAGTCAGTTATTTTGACTCTCCAGTTCAGAGGGTTCTTTTTTTTTTTCCAAACAGCTTTGCCCTTTGATTATCCAAGAAGCGTTCTGGGCCAATTTTGTCACTAATATGAAAGTTCTTTGGCTACAGCTCAGTGCAAGATACACACTGAACGTTAGAGGAATTTAGCTATTGCCGTATCAACTATCTGAAGCATTTTCCTGACCAAAGCTGATACATCTCCGGAGACTTCAGTCTCATGTTTCAGTCACTAATTGGAGTCATTCAGAAACTCAAGGCTCTTGTCTCCATAATGCACATGTCATAAGCCAAGACTTACCAATATGGAGCTTCCATGTGATCGCACTGTTGCTCCAAACCACTGCAAGGATTTGAACTCCATTTGCTCCAGTGTCCCATTGAACTCTTCCACACGGGATTCTGTGGGGCAAAGAACACACAATGGATCTGGATTAACATTTCTAAAACCTCCAATATCAGGGATGCAAATCTTACATTCTCCATCCCCACCAATTAATTAAAGGGCAATTTTTTTATCTCACAAATGGCAACAATGGTTCACAACAATGGCATCATCCAAAAATAAAGGGAAATATTTCTTTCCACAAGTCGTCATTCAGTTAGAGGAGTTTTATTGCATCCAAGCACATTGGTGGACCACAGATTAATAACTATTTTGGATGATAAAGTGCAATAATGAACATGAGCCTCTGCTAACAAGAGACAGCTTCCAGATGATGTGGACGGATGATAAAGCCATCTCTTCCTGAACTTTCTGGGGAGTCTTGCTAACTACTGCATAAGGAGACTCAACCTGATCTGACCTAGCATGGCAGTTTTGTTCTATCTCCTCCTCTCCTTTTGCAACACTGACAGAAGATACTGATAAGGGGCCATGCTTGGGGATTGGTGGAGATATCATAATGGATGCTAGCTTGAGGACTTACAACATGTCCTGCTTATCCTCTTCTTGGGATTTTTTTTTTGTCGTGTCAGGAGCGACTTGAGAAACTGCAAGTCGCTTCTGGTGTGAGAGAATTGGCCGTCTGCAAGGACATTGCCCAGGGGACGCCTGGATGATTTGATGTTTTATCATCCTTGTGGGAGGCTTCTCTCATGTCCCCGTATGAGGAGCTGGAGCTCATGGAGGGAGCTCATCCGCCTCTCCCCGGATTCGAACCTGCGACCTGTCGGTCTTCAGTCCTGCCGGCAGAAGGGTTTAATCCACTGCACCACCGGGGACTCTTGGGATGATCTCTATGCTCCATTTTGGCAGAGTGATGATGGACAAAATAAAGATGGATATGTCTAACAATGGCACATTTGCACCCAGGTTAATTCAATGGCATAACACACACTTTGGAACCACAAAACACTGAAAGTCAAGAGTATCAACCCATTTGATTTGGTATTTCCTACACAGACTTGAACTGCTGTTCAGATTTTCAGGTGTTACTTCCCAGCCCAACTTGGTTATTTCCCAGAGTGAAACTGGAAATTGATGCATGTCCAGTGGTTCCCAGCCTTTGGGCCTCCAGGTGTTTTGGACTTCAACTCCCAGAAATCCCAACCAGCTTATCAGCTGTTAGGAACTGTGGGAACTGAAGTTCAAAACACCTGGAGAGCCAAAGGTTGGAAACCATTGAGCCATGTGCCCTCTGCCACTGAGCTATGTGCATGTATTGTACAGTATGACAGTGGGACCAGTGTACTTGCAGATTCACCTACCCACATCTGAAAAAAATTGACTTTTCTAGATCCTCCAGGCAATTCTATAATATGCTTTTGCTGGAAGTTACCATAGTCTCCATGAAAGACCTAGAAAACTCCTAGAAAAGATACTTCTCTTGGAATTTTCTAAGACTTTCACTGCAAATTTATGGTTAATTCCAGCTGAGCTCATTTATTTCAAAAGAGTTTGTTATTGTCTATAGTTCCTTGTTTCTACGGTAAGTTCAGGAACCAATCCTTGATGGAAACAGGAGATTGTACTATATGTTCCTTCAAGTTGCCTGTCAACTTATGGTGACCCCATGGACTTCATAGGAGTTTCTTAGGCAAAATTTACAGATAGGTGGTTTTGCTTGCACCTTTCTCTGAAATAAAGCCCACAGCACCTATTATTGAGTTGAAATCTCCTAATCAAGTACAAACCTGGGCAGACCCTGCTTAGCAACCAAGATCAGTCAATATCTGGTACTTGTCTTTGATATATAGATTTTCAAATGGTGAATAGTCTCATTATAGAGTTACGAGGACTTTCACTTGTAGGGCAAAGACTTGTCTTAGGTTGGATCTACACTGCTATACAAGCCAGTATCCGATCACAGATTATCTGCCTTGAACTGGATTATATGAGTCTACACTTCCATATGATCCAGTTCAAAGCAGATAATCTGGGCTAGAAACTGGATTATATGGCAGTGTAGAAGGGGCCTCAAAAACCAGGGGCTGAACCCAGTTGTTTTAAAAAAGATTTTGCATACGCTTTTTCACTGTTGTTCACTAGCTGCAGCCCAAGCCTCCCCAGGCTTCTTTAATACCTCCATGAAGTCATGCGGTTAATTGAACTACAGTCCCTACATAGACATGCACAAGGAGGGTCAAAAATGTTTTCTTGCTCTATCCCAGGGAAATGAATTTGGAGGTCCATGGACCATGTGCAACCCTTAGGGTTCCAATAAGGGTTCCCCATCATTTTCAGATAGAAAAAATTGTGTTTTGGGAAAACCAGACCAGGCCATAACACTTTTTGCTGAAATATACTACTTCAGAGGAGTAGGAAGATCCAATACTCCCAGAGGTGAGTATTGACATGGCATCATTTCTAGTTGGTTCCAATGGTGTGGTTGTAGTTTTCCAGGTTCCAGTGTATGCTTAATTTTTAAAAAAATATTTCCAGCCATCTTCATATCTACCTGCAGCAGGTCTTTTGTAAAACTAGGAAGTCTTGCTGATAAAAAAAATATATCAAGCCATCCCAAAACATCCCAAAACACAAATCACATACGTCAAACTCAAGGCCTGTGGACTGAATCCTGTCATATCATTTTATGTGTCTCTCTAGATACTCATATCCCTCATCATTAGACATTAAGACTAGGGCTGATAGGGGCTGTGATACAGTAATATTTAGAAGGCTACAGTTTGTTCTGTAGCCTTCTAAATATTACTGTATCACAGTAATATTTAAAGTGGATTTAAATTTAGATACAAGTTTTGTAGGTATGATGTCTGATTTGAAAATGTCTTTGAACATTTTCCCAACCTCGGAGCCATATGTGCTACTGGATTGCAATTCCTAATAATAAATAAATAAACTTTATTTGTACCCTGCTACCATCTCCCCAAGGGACTCGGTGCGGCTTACATGAGGCCAAACCCACAATACATCAATAAACAAAACATCAAATAAAGCAATCAATACAATACAATTCATATAAATCACATACACAAAAATAAGCAATAAACAATCAAAAGTGATATACAAGCATTTAAAAACCAATCGCCGGGCCAAATGTAATAGATTAAAATTAAAATAATGCTGATGTGACGTGAACATTTTCAGAGAGAAGTGAGGGAACGCAGTCAGTCCTAAATCAATGGTAAAGTGCATTTTGAGGGCATATTGCTGAGAGTTTTCCTTATTCTGGGAAGGCACACTGGAACAACCACGTTTTCAGGCTCCTCCTAAAGACTGCCAGAGTTGGGGCATGTCTGATGTCTCTGGGAAGTGAGTTCCAGAGTTGGGGGGCCACCACCGAGAAGGCCCTCTCCCTCGTCCCCACCAATCGCACGTGTGAAGGAGGTGAAAGTGTGAGCAGGGCCTCTCCAGATGATCGAAGAGATCGTGTGGGTTCGTACAGTTTGCATAGCTGACAATCAAAAGTGATGGGAGCTGTGATTCAATAACATCTGGAGTCCAAAACTGGGTAAAAACTAAACAGCACTGACCACAATGTAAAATAATTATAATTGACCCTCTGTATTCACAGATTCTTCACCCATGAATTCAACGGCTCTTTGAAGGCAACCATAAGTTTGATGTGGCCCTTGATGAAAATCAAATTGACACCTCTGGCTTAAATGATGGATGGCTTATACCTTCACCATAGTTGAGGACTGCAGCAAAACTCAATAAGGAACCATGGGAGTCCAAGGAGTGGGTGACAGATGATGTCAAAATATGCAATAATAATAATAATAATAATAATAATAATAATAATAATAATATCAGATCTTAGATAGAAAACGGCACAGTCCTCCACCTTGTGCGACTGTGTAGCAGAACCAACAACTTTGCATCTGTATGCTTGCCCACAATGCCCTGCCTCATGCACAGAGGCAAAACTGTTTAAAGCTGCAGACAATGTGGTCGCTAAATCATTTTTGGTCTAAAATTATTTAGCTGCTTGTGCTTCCTTTATTTTATCAGTTTTATACTTATTTATGCAATGCTTTTGACACAAAATAAATAAAAATGCTCGAGGGAACCTTGGCATCATTGCACCACTACCTCATTTAACATTACTTTGCATACTGCTTTCCTTACCACCATTAGACCACCTCACACACTTTTAATACTTTCCACGTCTCTGCTGGCTTTTCTCCTATATGCGGCCTTAACTGACAATTTGCAAATTGCATTCTGGGACACATTAGTGGTTTACCCTACTCTGACCTTGCCACAGCCTCCCATAGGGGGTCTTGGAAATTTAGCCACGTCTTTACAACAAATATGAACAGATCCTTTCCATTTCCAAGTTGGATCAGGATTACCTGTCCTTTGAAAGAATCAGCCTGTGGCATCCCTGGTTTTTCCAATTAGCAGTTCGTGCAGAAAAAAATAAACGTACTCTAAAAGTAAATATTTTGAGACATGGGCCTCCACATTGAATTCAGAAGGGGGAGAGAGTAAGCGTCTCAGCTGTCAAGAGTTTGGGAAATGCTGGCCCAGATCTCAGGCTATAAATTGTTGCCTTTGGTTTCACTCCAGACCCGAAGAGGCACCTCTAGCCTGCTGGCTCTGCTCTAGGCGAGGCCGCTAAATATCCCAGCTGCTCAAGGCAGGGATCCAATGGGATATTGCAGTGCATCCCGGGATCCTGCAACAGCAACTATCCTTTCCCTCAAAACCACAACATCGGGCAATGAGCCCAGGCCGCTACTCGAGAGCAGGTGTAAACTCACAAACTATTTCTAGAGAATTCTGGCCTTTCCAACACTTTTTCTGTGAAGGGACTTCCAAAAATACAATATGGGTCCAGATGGATATTTCCCCCATCTGCCTGATTTAATTTGTATCAGTGCCTAGAAAATAAACTATCGCTGTGGTTTGTGACTTCAGAGAATCCAAAACAGTGCTGTGATCAATATTCAAAAATTCCTTTCCTGTTTACTTAAAGAAAAAAAAATACAAT